CAGGCTTAAGCATCAACCCTTTAGGTTAAAATGCTCAGAGTCATAACTTTGTAGGCATTGCTTCATTATTTTCTGAGAAGCAGTGCTGCTGAGGGTGGGACTGGAACTGAAGCCAGTCTCTCATTTGCTGGTGACTAGTTAGTTCTGCCTGGATGCATGCTGATTTCTTTCTTGAATGTCAAGGTTCAGTGCCCAAATTTGGAAATGTGAAGATATTCCACACTCACAACAAATGTATTCTTGCTCTCATTCCCATTGTATCTATACCTATTCACTTTATCCATGAGGTGGAATTGGTGGACTGGGCGTTCTATGTCCGTCTACTTTCCTTGGCCAGAGTGAGGCTGTGTGGAGGCAGAGCTGACCCCAGGCTGTGGACACTTTTCATTAGGATACTCAGCCTCTCTACCAAGTGCCTGGGCTTCAGAGAGGAATCTTAAAATCCTTCTGCCAAGGCATGTGTGTTTAAGAACGAGAGCCCAATCAACAGGCAATTAAATTAAGTGTTATGACATAAGGTGGTACAGGAAGCAAATTTGCTCAGCTTACTTTGAGTAATAATTGAGGCGGTTCCATGTAGAGATACTAATGTATGAGTTCCAGGATTAAGCCAACTGTACTTTCGACAAGTTATTCTAGCAGTAATGTGAAAAATGAGATACAGGTCTAAAGAGATGGACCAATTGCAAATACTTAGGCTGCTCAGCTCTGCAAAGAGAAAAGCTTGTCTGTTTCAGGAAGCTGAGACACTTAGGGATGTTAAAGGTTGATGAGTAAACAGACATCTCTACCACCACCCTTCTTATCTTGCCCAACCTCAGTACCATTAGCTTCTAGGCAACAGCACCCCTATCAAACCTTCCTCCTAGTAGGTTTCTAGAGACATGCTCTAGGGCCCAGATGGCATGTCTGGGCAATACATCTTAAAGCTACTTTTATTTCTTTTCTTTTTGACAGTTGAGTCGGGACCAATTACAGGGTCCTGTGCACAACAGGCCTCATTAATGTACTCAGTCTGGGATGGGCAGAGGCTGGCAGAGCTGGGGAATTGACTTACCCCCACTGAGGGCCACTTGGGAGGAAGAAAGGGGATTGTCATTGATTTCTGGGCTTCTAGGTTGGTCTCCCCCCATGTGAGCACCTTCTGAAATTCCTCACTGCCTGCTCACTGAACTCACCCTTCTACCCCACAGACACACAGTGTATCTTTACTTACCAAGCAAGTGAAGTTCCAAATATTGGTTCACCAAGTGCTTCCATATACAGTGCCCGGTTCTTGCCTTTTATTAATCTACTAGAGCTATGAAACAGTGTCACGTTTTGTGGAATAAGCAGCTAAGGCTTCCTCAGATGGGAAAAGAGTTTATCATTGGCCCGGGGTCAGGGTCCTTAAGTGGAGAGAAAAGCAGACAAGATCTCTTGGATGTTTATCTTCCCTCCCTCCCTAAGTCCCCATCTCATAGCTGCATTATGTGTTCTTGATTTGGTCCATCTCTAGACCTGGGTTAAGACATCCCTCTCCTTGAATATCTCCCCTGAAGCTCAACTTGCTGATCTTCTCTTCCTGGATGCAGGGCCATTGCAGGTTCTTTCTCAGCAGGTAGTCCTAGTCTCAGGTCTACGATTTTCTGACTAGCTACCCTTGGGCTCTTACAGCTCTCTTTCCCTAGCTTCATTGCTTATGAATGCCATGGGAATGGTAGCCAAATCCAAGGACTTTTAAGGGGGAATTGTCTATGGAGGGGTCACTTATGCAACAGATATTGGAGAACCTTCAGTGTCCCAGGCTGATGTCCGTGGCAACAATGGTAAGTGAGACAGATACATTGCTGTTCTCAAAAAGACTACAACATTGTCAGGGAGGCAGGCATGAGGCACTTCATTAGACGAAGTTCCTGTTGTAGACTGTTGTGATGGGTAACCTTGGTTGTCAGCTTGATACACTTGGAAAGAAAGAGCCTCAACTGAAGAATTGCTACTATCAGATTGGCCTGTGGATATGTCTACAGGGTATTTTCTTGATTGCTAATAGATGTGGTAGGCCATACCCCATTCTGGACAGCACCATCCCTAGGCAGATGGGAAAGGGCTATTTCAGAATGTTAGCTGAATGTGAACCTGGGAGTAAGCTTGCAAGCAGCACTCCTCCATGGTTTCTGCTTCAAGTTCCTCCCTTGAGGTCCTCCCTGGACTTCCCTTGATGATGGACTATAACCTGAAAGTGAAATAAACCCTTATCTCCCCAGCTTCTTCTGGTCATGTTTTTTTATTATAACAAAAACAAGAACAAAGAAGTAAACACAGACAACTGTGATTTCCATCTTTATGAAGGATGCAGGCAAGTTTCATGGATAGTATACGTGGGGCTTGATTCAGCCTTGACGATCCATGGAGGCCTTCTAAAGGATAGAATGCTTCATTTCAAGTCTGATTAATGAGGAGTTGGTCAGATGAAGAATGGTCCAGAGAGACTGCAAGCAGGTGCAGAAGACTGATATGAGAGAGCTGGTCTTGCTTTACAAACAGCAGTAAGGCTGATGCACCTGGAGACGAAGCGGGAATGATTCTGGGGTGTGCACAGACCTAGAACAGGCAAAGTCTCAGGGCCCAAGAAAGGGAGAAAGGATGTCTTTCTGGTTGCTCTGGGAGCTGCTGGGAGAGTTGTGAGTGATCCAGAATGGGAGTGATGGGCCTAGATGTTATTCTTGAGAAATGAACTGAAGACACCAGAGTAGAAGGAAGGCTAGAGAAAGTTGGGCCCTGTTGTAGCACTGGTGGTTGGGATGGTTGCAGAGACAGGGAGGTTAGGTGGAAGGATGGAGCCGTAATTTGGAGGCAAACTCAACACTATCTGGTGATGAGTTGTCAGGTGTGGGTTGCTCAAGTGATCAGGGTGAAGTGGAAAGCAAGGAAGAAGCATATGTCCAAGATAAAGCGTAGACAAATGACATGGACTGCTTTGAGGTTGGCAGTGCTACATCCTCACGTGAAAAAGCTTTGATGAAGGTGGTAGTGATGTGCAGACCAGGATTCCCCTGGGAAACCTGTTCAGAGTGACATGCCTTGGGTGGGCCTGTCAAGAACTATTTGCTTAATACTCAGAGCTCAGGAAAAATATCTGAGCTGTTGAGGTCCTTCACTTATGGAAGGCACAGTTATGAAAGAAACCAGTGAATAAACCAGCAAAGGAGGTGGACGAGAGACCAGAGTAGGAAGAGGAACCAAGAAGAGGGATTCTGGAAGCCAGGATCTAGGAACACTTGTAGTGGAATATTCCTTTATACTGTATGAAGATATGTCACTGTGATTGGTTTAACAAAAAGCTAAATGGCCAATAGCTAGGCAGAATTTTTTGAAGCAGAGAGAATACTGGGAAGAAGAAGGGTAGAGATGTGACAAGTCACAAGGAGATTCAGGGGACAAAGAGCAAGCAGAGTGGGCTTCCAAAGTAAAGGTAACTGAGGTATGTAAAAAGAATGTAGATAAAAAGATATGGGTTAATTTAAGTTCTAAGATCTAGTTAAAAACAAGCCTAAGCTATCAGCCAAGCTTTCATAATTAATAATAAGTCTCTGTGTCATGATTTGGGAGCTGGCTGCAGGGACAGAGAAAAATCCACTAACAAACATTGAAAGAAGGCTATATCTGGTGAGAGAATGTTGCTCAGAGGGCAATGAAGACGAATGAACTCAACTGTAGCTTAGTGCTGGGCATCCAGTAGGTATTCAATTAATGGTAGTTCCATTTCATTAACAAGGCCCTTTCTTCACTCGTTCTTTTACTTTTGAGTATCCATAGGCCTTTATCTTCCTTCCAAGTACATTAAAAGCTTAAAAAAATAGACAAATGAATGTGTAGAGAAAGTGAATGAGTGAATGTCCAGTGTAGTTGTCATTGGTGAGTCCCAAGGTGTCTGCAGCCCAGAGCATTGGTTTCATTCCAGAGCTAAGCCATACAAAAGTTTCCTGGGAGCCAATGACTCTTATTTAGCAGAGGGCCCTTGGGGAACCAATTTTCAAGCTTGTCAAGCATCCTGCTCTGAGAATTACTGAATGGGTACCCCAGCCAACCATGTAGGGAGCCGCCTTCCCCAGCAGGTCTCTGGAGTCCCTGTTGCCCTCCCTCCCCAAGTAGTGTCAACTGCACTGTAATCACACAATTACGATGCCATTAAAATGTCACATTTGAAGAAATCCATATAAACAGAGCATTAACAACTGACTGAAAATTGTAGTCTTTACCACTAATGACCTACTTTCTGTACATGTCATGCCCTCCTGCCACCTTTACTTGCTGCCACCTTCCCCAGCCTTGATTTCAGAGGCTGTGAGAAAATGCAACTGTCTTTTCTGCCTGGAAAGCCTTAATGTTTAATGTGCTGGGAGAAGTTCTGGAACAGAGCCAGACATTGCCAGACCCAGGGATGGGGGTGGGGTGGAATGAACAGAGCTGCACCTAGCAGTATTGAGAAATTTGAGGGTTGGGTTCATCTTTCTTCCCTAGGGAGGGAGAGATGTAAGCTGAGACACCTTAGTCGCTTTTGTGAAAGGACAAATTATTAGGCAGACATATCTGTCTGGTTGAGTGGAGGTAAGCCGCAGATCTCTGCCTTCCTACTGCTGTGGGGACAGAGGCAGACAGAGAGGTGAGGGGCTCCTCATTTCTCTGGATAAACCTGAGGAAAAGCTGTCCAGGTGCTGAAGTTTCTTTGTCTCTAGAATCTAATTTTAATGGACTAAGGAAATGGGTTGCTTAAAAGAATCTTGTAGTGACTTCTTTTTATAAAGCGAAACATATACCAGAACTTCCCTGGTGAAGTCATTACTCTCTTGCATCTAAATAGCAAATCTGCACTCCATAGTGCACTGTACTGGTTGATGTGTCTTGTTCCAGGAAACAGAGAGACAGCCACTGTGCTGGGGGAAAAAAGTTGAATTAGCATTCTGGGGAGTCCATTTTGAATGTCCCTCTAGCTCATGACATCCCTACCACAACGAGGGATGGCACTGCGGAAGGGCCTGTGCCACAAGGGCTTTGGACAAGGATGGATGTTGACAAGCATGCCATTTGGGGAGAAACTATTGGTGCTTCCCAAGGTGAGAGAGATGCCCCTGAGAATGTTGTTTACATAAGCAGTGTGTCATAAATCCTCTTTTGACAGTTCATATGAGACACCCTGGTAGGATCTGGCTGTGCTGGGGAGATGTTCAGTGTTTGGGACAGGCTTATGAGGCTGTCGCCCCGTTTTTCAGCTTACTGCCACTATCACTTTGGGTACCACTCACAGTCCTAAATTTGCCCTTGCCTGAGACAAGCATCCCACCCCCTCCAGACTCAGCAGGCATGCTGCCTGGGAACTGTGGGACCACTTTTGACATAAAAAGAGCCCCTTCTATGAAAAGACGGCCAGCAGCCCTCCTGGAATCCTGCAAGATAAAGTCGTTTCAAAGTCATTCGCTGCAGCCCACAACTCCATATGCGGTGGCTGACTTAGTTTTGAGGGAGCCAGAGGGCATCTGGATGTCACCTTATTTACGGAGCTGAGAGAAAAAATACACTAAGTCCTTGCCGCACACGGTATCTCCAGAGATCTATCTTCCACTTGGGAGGCACAGAGAGAGGGGACAAATTCTGCTTAGCTCAGAGCCTGAGGCGTTCTGCTAATGTCACCTTTGGGGAATGTATGGCAGGACTCTGACATTCTCTTTCCAGCTGTGTTTCAGGGCAGGATCCTTTGCCCTTTGGCTAAGGAAAGGTGTCTGGAACTAATGGCAAAGCTGAGCTTTTACCCAGCACCTCCCTGCTCTGCCTTCTTTTTACTATACTATTCCTACTCAGGTGCTGGTCAAGGAAGCCTCCTTTAATGGGCAATACTGGCCTTGATAGGTCCTGGACAAGGGTGGACATGGAGTCTACAGACCCAGTGCCCCAATTTACTTGCTATGTGGCCTCAGCCAAGTCATTTTCACTCCAGAACACTCAGTTGCCTCTTGGTTAAAATGAGGTAATAGTACCTGCCCAGGCTTATTCTGAATATTTGAAGGAGTGACATTTTTAACTAGAACTAAGCATACAGAAAATGCTATGTAAGAATTTACTGGTTTCCATTGCCTTGTGTGTGATTCCACCCAGTAGAGAATTTGTCAACATTGGAACCCAGTCCTGTTGCTTGGCTTCCCACAACTTCCCATCTTGATTTCTCCCACTAGAAAAATCTTGCTGGATGTGGTGGCAAAAGTGTGGAACCCCAGTTACTTGAAAGACTGAGGCAGAAGAATGGAAGATTAAGGCCAGCCTGGGCTACAGAGTGAGTGCAGAACCAGCTGGGCAATTAATTGAGTTCCAGTCTCAAAACACACACACACACACACACACACACACACACACACACACACACACACACACACACACCTGACAATAACTTAGAAAGAAACTTGGGGAACTGCAAACCTTGTCTGTCACCTCCTTGGTGAATACAGCTGTAGGCCTGTACATGGCAGCACCATCCAGGAAGCCCCAACATGACTCCATGGAGCTAACAAGTACACTAGAATAAAGGGAACCCGAATGCAAGCATATAGCCCCTAGTCCAGGTCCCTTGATCTTCAGCAAACTCAGGGCCCCAGGCATGAACAATCTTTTGCTCTTATACTGGTCTTTCCCCAGAGTTATCCAGCACGGCCCCATCATTTTCTTATCCACATGTATATAAAAAGACTTAGCACAAAGCTCAGTCCCCAGCCTTCTGAGCTGATAATAACCTCATACATTAGTTTCTTAAAATAGTTTCTTGTCTTATCATTTTCCCGGCACTGTGGTCAAACCCAAGTTTGTGGTAGAGAGTTGAGCCCTAGGAAGAACTCACATTAATAATGGCCACTCCCCAACAGCTGGACAGTGAGGTGAAGCATCCAGTCACTTGTGGATGCCATCAGAGACCCCATTTCTGCACAGGGAAGGAAGAGGGAGCAAACATAAATTGCTGAATGTGAATTGCATTTTTCTTCTCCCCATTAGCATTCAGACTCCAGGAGAAATGATAGTAACCACAGCTATGTTGACAACAGTACTATGTTACATATGCATTATGCTTTACCAAGTGACTTTTCCTATCTTATCCCATGTCTGAGATCTGATTTGGTCCTGTAAAGCGAGGTTGGGGAAGATGAGTTTTGCCCTTGGCATAGAGTGAGAAAATAGCTACACAGAGAGATGAAAGAGAAGCATGTTCCGTAGAGCCTTGCTCTACAGTATAGGGTGCTAAGCTAAGTCGAGCTCTATCAGTGGGCTGTGCATCCCCATTTGCCACCCCTCAGCATTAACACTGTAGCCTGCATTCCTGTCTAGAAAATTTGGGTTAAAATGAACAAGAGTACACAGCTCTTATTCTGCACCTTTCCTACTGGTTTTTGGCTTTCTTGACCCCTTTCCTTTTATTCCATTGATGTCAGCCTGTGTGCATGTTTCTTTTCACTCAAAGGGAGGTTTAAAACCACATAACTAGGCAGGTATGCAGTAATGACAAGACCCACCCCCCACTACTCACTCACATTTCTGCTCCCTGTGACCCTATCTGTGCTCACTCCTGACCTCTGCCAGGTGCTCTAGTTCACCAGGCCCCCTGGAAAATTGCTTGGCCCTGCAAGCTATTTCTTGTGGCTGAAGGCTTTCTGAAGATGCCTTAAGATATCTACTGGATCTTTGCAGCAGGCTAAGGAGGGGCGAGAAGCCTGATTTTTTTTTTTTTTGAAGGTAAAGCTCTTTTCTCACTGAGAAACTCAAATTTTCATTTTTCTTTTTATCCTTCCAGAAGCAATTTTCAAAAGACTTGGCTTCTGACTAGGAGACCCAGTCCCCGCTGGAGGCTACTCTGGGGAATCTGCCCTCATCTTCCCTCACACCTCTATTCCTGAAAAGAAAACTCATCAACAGCCTTCTAGAGCCATCTCCATTCTGATGTGGTGACCTTATGCCCAAAAGAGCTCAGCTGTGTATCCCAGAAAACAGCATGTGTCTGCATCTAGTTCCACACAGGGGGAGGCTACTCTTCCATGCTACTTTTGGCTCTTCCCCCACTTTCACTCTCTTCTTGGTCTCTCCTGGGAGCTGGTTCCTTCTCCTAGTAAACACTTTTCTCCAGTCCCAACCTCCTGTAATAGACAGGTCAACCCTCCTGACCCAGGGGCTTCTGAAGTCCCAGTAGATAACGTATTGTGTCAGTCTCTATACAGAAAGAGGGGTCCCAGATGCTGGATGGTACTAGATACCAAGCAGAGTCAGCTCTCTCTCTGTCAGCAGCTGGGATGCACTAGCAATGCCTGTTACCTTTGGGTTTAGCTTCCTGAGGTGGCATTTACGGTCTTCGGAGAGCAGGAAGCAGATCCATCAGCATTTGCCATCACATGCCTTGGCATGTGCCAGGGGGCCTTCCTTTTTGCTATCATACTGATTTTGACTTTGCTGGTACCCCCCCTGCCATGCTAATTAGGAAGCAAATTAAATTCCATCTAGGGTCCACATTGTGTGAGTCTTCCCACCACCATTCCAGAAACAAAAACTGGGCTTCTATCCATTCAGCTAATCATGTTATATTTCACATTTTGAGTTTTTCAGCCAATTATAATAATTACTGGAAGTTTTCTATGTCTAGGAAGCTGGAAGCATCCCCCAACTTTGTGTTCCCACGTAGTGCGCAGTTGAAATGTGGGCAGAGAGCCCATAGATGGAGGGCAGCCATGGGCAGGGGAGAGTAAAGGGACTGCTCTTGTCAGATCAAGTGAAGACAAGCCAGTGTTGGAAAGGGGTCTAGACTCAGTATCCCCATTAGCTTATCCCCCCACGACAGGCTCAGAAGTTTGAAACCCACACCACCTGTGTTTTATGGAAAGTAGCTAGTCTCATGACAGCGAGGAAGAAAGTGATTAAAGCAACGGGGGAGGGGTGCAGGAGGGTAAACTCATCCCTGTTGAATCATATGACACCTCATTTGGTCTGAGAAATAGCCCTTCCTCCTCTATTATATGTTCTCTCTGTCTATCAGCCCTTAAGGGTGATGCTCCTATAATTAAAATTAACCATTAAGCTATAACATTGAAGGAGCAATTGCCTAATTTTGAGGAAAATTTAAATTTATGGCCAGCACCTGAGATAAAATGGATACTAAGGAGAAGAGAGAAAACCCTGTGGAAGATAAATAGAAAGCCAAGTGGGATATTGACTTGATCCTTCTCCAGTGCAGGGTAATTTGGCTTCTAAAGTGAGTTAGATCATAATAAATTAAATTTAGATTTCTGCACATCAATTAAATAACTCCCAAGACAGAATTCCAGTGAGAAGAAGAGGTGATAATACATGGAGGAAATATGAAAATGAAGATCTGATCTAATAATCTATAATTGATGTGTTGTCCCTTGGTAAGGATTTTCCGGCTCTTACCTTTGTCAGGTGAGCCAGGCTGGCTGGCCTCTACTTGATTTCCAGCTTGTCCTAACCATTGGCATGAGTGTGTTCCCTATAGCGGTTTCCTTCCAGGGCCATTCCCTGTGTTCTGATTCACATCAGCAATGTGGAAGGCATGGGGAATTGTACTGTACCTCTTCCCTCTACTGACTGTCCTCACAAAAGCAAAATCACTTCCTGCTGGCTGGATGAGAGCATAGGAATGAGTCAATCCTTTCGTATTTTTATGAGGGGCTGACTGACAGGAGGGAGAAAAGACCAGTGTTTGAATAGTACATCTATTGATATGGAAAGAGACACCGATGTTGACACAAGAAGTATTAGATGAAGACCATAAGGCCCTGGGTTCAACCCCATCCCAACACACACAAACACACATACACACACACACACACACACACACACACACACACACACACACACAGAGAGAGAGAGAGAGAGAGAGAGAGAGAGAGAGAGAGAGATGTACAGGTTCCGTCTTAGAGTCTTAGCTTATGGACCTTATAACCTCTGTTTTCTTGTCTATAAAATGGAAAATATGTAACTGGCCCACCTGCTTCAAAGGCAAAATAAATCATTATTTGATTACTATACAAGTGAAGGTAATTTGCATGCTATCAGCGTTTCTTGTTGTCCT